AAGCAGGTTTGGGAGGCCATTAAGCAGTGGTTACGGATTGATGGGCACCTGAGCACTCTTGATAGAGCTGTTCGTTGGATGAAGACCTTTCGAAGAGGTGATGCTGTTCTTAAGAAGGCTAGGAGGATTGGCCTGGCATGTACTGTTTTCCAGATTTGGAAACAACGTAATGCTACCCTTTTCGATCAAGAACCTATTCATGTTGAGGGTATGATTTTTAAAATCAAAGTGATGGTCTATTCCATTTTGGGGAGACTCTGGCATACGTATTCCCTCCCCTTTTGATGTATGTTATTGTTGTTCTTGGTGTTTATGTTGGCGTGTGTGCCTTGCTTTATGTTTGATTGTGTTGTTGCTTGTTGGACATTTGGTGATGTAGCCATTTTGTCTTTGTTCGGAATTGGCTTGTTGTCATTTCCACGCTCGTGTATGCCCGTTCTATTTGTATATTCTACTTCTTTATTCTATTTACATTTTCATCAAAAAAAAAATGCAATCCCAACTCTTGATATTTAAGTGGATAAAACTCTCATATTCTCACTCTCTTAATTTAAATCATTTGATTTCTTTTACGATATTTAGCTAAAATTATTTTCAAATTATTTTATATGAAATATGGTATAAAATTTAAAAAAAAATCATAGTTAAAAATTACATCAAAAGGTCTACAAAACTAATAGTGACATGATTACATTATTTTATCAAATGACTAACAAAAATAGAGAAAGAAAATGAATGAAATTTGAGCTTGTAGATAATAGACATATAATTTAATTTGGGACAGAAGGAGTACTATTTTAAATAATCAACTCAACCAAATATTTAAATTTTGTAATCAAAAGTCTAGTCATTACATACAAAGTTAGTCAAGTGTAATAAGATTGAGGAATAAAAAAACACTAAAGTATAAGTAAAAAAAGTATCAAAATAGAAATTTCATATTTTTATTTGATTTTTTTTTGCACTATATACCTATAAACACTTTATAAAGTGCATGTTTTTGCCCTTGAACGTAAATAATTTGCCAACTAAAATAAACCTTTTACCATGCTACTAATGTCAACATATAATACCAAAAAACATTACGAAATGACAAAAAATAATGCAGCAATGTCGTAGTGTAAATTGTTATTTTGGAGATAAAAATATGAAATCTCTATTGTGAGGATAAGAGATCTGTTTTACTCCTATTTGAGGTATAAAACAGAAGAAAAATTTTGTATAAAAAATAATGATTTTGTTAAAAAAAGCAATGATTTCGAACTTAAAAGGAACACAAACACAAACAATATTCCCTCCGTCCTAAAACTAACATTTTTCATTTGACTTTTCACGTTCTTCAATTTAACACTTTGACCATTAGTGTGTGTGTGCGTCAGTGTGTGTGTGTGTGTGTGTGTATATATATAATAAAAATACTTCAAAACTATGTTTCAAAATAAATACATTGATATTAAATTTATATGAAAACTCAATATATTTTTTCTGTAATGTGCGGTCAATGTTTAAAAAATTTGACCACGAAACTCAAATTAGGAATTTAATTTTAGGATAGGAGTAGAAGATAACGAGTTCAAATTTAAAAATAATAAAAAATTTTAATTTATAAATATCAAACTATTAATAGCTCCAAAACATAATGCACATAGCAGTAATAAATCTAATTAAAACAATAATAATGAAAGAATATTTTAAAAAATAATACAGTACGAAGTACTCCATAGTCCATATATGGTAAGATTCAATAGACAAATCAGTATTTGACATACTCCAAAGATAGTTTTGAACGATTTGATCCGTAATAATCAATTTAAAGTTATGAGTAAATTCTCAAAATAGTCCTTTGTAATAAGCGGTTTTTCCAAATTAGTCCTCAATAAGTTTTAATTACCTACATGGTCCTCTATAATTGAGATTTATTCCCAAAATAGTCCTTTGTAATAAGATATTTTCCCAAATCAGTCTTCAATAAGTTTTAATTACCTAGGTGATCCTCTATAATTGAGATTTATCCCCAAGATGGTCCTTCATAAATAATGTTACTCAAATGAGGATTAATTAAGGTTATTTTTTCTCTGCTAAATTTAGAATTAATTTTTAAAATAATCATTTATAATGAAGTGCTTTCCCAAAATGATTTTTCTAATTAAAGATGTGTATTTGATTTGAAATTTAAAAGATTTTTTAAGTTTTAAATAATTCACAAATTATTTATGAGTAAATTCTCAAAATGGTCCTTTGTAATAAGGTGTTTTCCCAAATCAATCCTCAAATGAGGATTAACTGGGAGATATTTTGGTATTTTGATAATCCAAATTTAAAGTATATTTTTGAAACAATCATTTCTGTACTACTAAATGTAAAATTTAAAAAATACATTGAGTATAAATAATTTATGAATTATTTAAAACTTAAAAAAATCTTTTAAATTTCAAATCAAATACACATCTTTAATTAGAAAAATCATTTTGGGAAAGCATTTCATTATAAATGATTATTTTAAGAATTAATTCTAAAATTTAGCAGAAAAAAATAACCTCAATTAATCTTCATTTGAGTAACATTATTTATGAAGGACCATCTTGGGGATAAATCTCAATTATAGAAGACCACCTAGGTAATTAAAACTTATTGAGGACTGATTTGGAAAAATACCTTATTACAAAGGACTATTTTGGGAATAAATCTCAATTATAGAGGACCATGTAGATAATTAAAACTTACTGAGGACTAATTTGGGAAAATCCCTTATTACAAAGCACTATTTTGGGAATTTACTCTAAAGTTATTGTATCCCGATCCTGTCGATATCGGTTAAGAGTGTAAAATACTCCGTATCAATTTCGCCTAAAAAGACTATAAGCGATTTGGTTTGTCCGGTTAATATAATGTTAGTTCTGTTATGAAATTAATGATTGTTCATTTATTCAATTAATCAGGCCTACTTTCTAGAATAGTAAATTAAGACACCCATTGATGAGTATCAATTTTGTACAGTCCTTCCCACTTGTATTTGTATTCATACTAAGGCTCTCCACTATAAATAGAAGCTTATTTCCTGCATTGTAATCACCATTAAGAATAAGAAGAAGAGTGAAGAGTTAATAGAGAGAAGAAATCAGAAATATATTATATCTATTCTCATAATCTCTGAGTAATTTTTCTCTCATTTTATAACACGCTATCAGCACGAATTTGCTCAAAATCCCAGAATCCTTGTTCTTCTCAGAAGTTTCCATGGCCAACATCACCAAAAGAGAATTCGACATTCTTGATTTATCCGGTCAAAGGTACTTGGAATGGAGGGTTGATGCACTTGCTCACCTCAAGGCTAATGGCCTCGAAAATACAATTGCTGAGAATAATACATCATCATCTCAGCAAAAGGCAAAAGCCATAATTTTCCTTCGCCACCACCTTCATGAAAGTTTAAAATCGGAATATTTATTGGTGGAAGATCCGAAGGAATTATGGGATAATCTCCAAGAGAGATATGGACATCAACAAAAAGTCCTATTGCCAAGAGCTCAATACGAATGGATCAATTTAAGATTCCAAGATTTTAAGTCCGTTTGTGACTATAATTCTGCTATTTTTAAAGTCACGTCCACATTAAAATTATGTGGACATAATATCACAGATCATGACATGTTGGAGAAAACTTTTTCCACCATGCATATGTCAAATGTGATATTACAGCAACAATACAGAGAAAGGGGCTTTAAAAAGTATTCTGAGTTAATCTCAATATTACTTGTTGCTGAGCAAAATAATGAGCTCTTAATGAAAAATCATAACATGAGGCCCACCGGTTGTAGTCCTACAAATTTTGGCCATCCTGATCGTGGTTCAGCACCAGAATCAAATATTATCCAAGGTGGTGCACGCGGACACTTTAAACGTGGACGCGGAAATAACCACAACAAAGGGCCAAATAGGGGCTATAAAAATCCAAATGGATCATCCTCCAAGGGAAAAGGGAAATTCAAACCACCACAGGCTAAAACTCATGAAAAGCCAAAACCAAGTGGTGAATGCTATAAACGTGGCATAAAAGGACATTGGGCTAATGAATGTCGAACGGCAAAACACTTGATAAAATTATACCAAGCTTCCACAAAAGGAAAAGGAAAAATTGTGGAGGCTAATTATGCTGATGATATCAATCTAATTTTGCCTAAATTTGACGTGTCTGATTTCTACATGGATGATGCTGAAATTGGTGATGAAGTGGCTTTTGGTGGAACTACTACTATTTAAATATTTTAATTTACGCTGTTATGGTATGTTTACTTTTAAAATAAATGTTTAAAATCTGTACTTTAATTTTCATGTGTACTTGTATTATTATGTCTGTTCTAAAAATTTATAATAAAATGTGTGAAATTTATGTTAATTATCTTGAACTTATATTTATTTATATATTTATTTATATTCAAGATATGGAGATAACTGCTTATGGCAAAGAACAATGTCTAATTGACAGTGCCACAACGCACACCATTTTGATAAACAAAGAATATTTTTCTCAAATGACATTGATGGAAACTAATGTCAATACAATCTCTGGTGTTGCAAAGCTCATTGAAGGGTCTGGAATGACTTGTTTAATCCTTCCCCAAGGAACAAAATTAATTATCAAAGACGCATTATATTCCAGCAAATCCCGAAGAAATTTATTGAGCTTTAAAGATATGCGTCAAAATGGTTATCACATTGAAACCATGACAGAAAATCAAAAGGAATACTTGTGTCTAACGACAACCAAATCTGGCTATAAAATTCTTTGTGAAAAGATGCCAGCGTATTCCTCGGGGCTATATTATACTCACATTAGTCCCGTTGAAGTGAATGTTGTCTCTAAAAAATTAGATGACCAGAAAACATTCATTTTGTGGCATGATCGTTTGGGTCATCCTGGCAGTGTAATGATGCACAAAATAGTTCAAAATTCACTTGGACATCCATTGAAAAATATAAGGATTCCAAGATCAATTGATTTTCCATGTATTGCCTGCTCTCTTGGAAAGATGATTGTCAGGCCATCTCTAAATAAAATTGGAGTTGAATCTCCTGCATTTTTAGAAAGAATTCAAGGAGATATTTGTGGGCCAATTGCCCCAGCATGTGGACCATTTCGTTATTTTATGGTGTTGATCGACGCATCAACACGTTGGTCACATGTTAGTCTTTTATCTACAAGAAATTTTGCATTTGCAAAACTCCTTGCTCAAATCATACGTTTGAGAGCTCAATTTCC